TTTTTTTTTTCAAACCACTGCATCCCAAATTTCGTTTTGAGGCGCAAAATCCAGCTGAACGACTGAAGCATAGAAGAGCTGAGATGGTTAAGATGCTGCCAAGATGTTTCAAAAAGACTTATGGCAAACTAGAATGAATATCTTGATTGTCAAAAGGTGGCAGTGGGTCCCTCCAGTATGTGAACTGACTGTAGGTGTCAGAACAGGGGAAGTCTGAAGAATGCCTTCTTTTCAGCAAGGGAAATACATGATCCACCACTTCGCAAAGTCTCCCATACCTGTGAGGGGAAAAGAGAATTTGGGGAAGGGGGGGGGGGAGGGAGAGATAGAGAGAGAAACATCTGAGATATCTGAACCATTTTATTTATTTATTTCATTTCTATGCTTCCCTTCTCACCAATAAGGCAACTTTGGACAGCTTAAAAACAGCAAAAAGGCGAAATTCAAAACATTATTCACTCTATTACTGATGTTGTGGGTTGCATGAACACAACTCAGGCAAAATAATTAGAAAAACATAACATCCCTACATCAGCCTTTTAACTTATTCCTGAATGTTAGGCCTAGAGGTGTGACTTTCTAAAACACTGCTAGGAAGAGTAGAATTGGGATGCTGCTTGAAGATTTGTAAACCACAGTTAGTCAGTTTTGCAGCAAAGGTCTTTGTAAGAAAAAAATCCACAATAGGTTTATAAAACCCACTAAAGTTTTAAAAAAAAAACAGCAACAAAAGTATCTCCTGCAGCTTACAGAAATGAACAGGTGAACAGGTGAAGTGTTTCAATGGCCAAACTGAAATTAACCTCATCTTCTGATTTCAAAGATTAAAAACAACAGGAATAGAAATCCAGGCGAAAGCAACAAGATCTTATTTACTAACCACTGGACAATTCCATTTGTAGCAAAGCGTTACATTTCCCTCTATAATCACTTCCAAATATTTTTCCCACCTCAATTTCAACTTCAGAAAGCCTATCAAATATACCATATTTTTCGGAGTATAAGGCGCACCGGAGTATAAGACGCACCAAGGTTTTGAAGAGGCTTTAAAAAAAAAAAAGTAGGTAGGTAGATAGAGGGATAGAGAGGAAGAGAAATACAGTAGGTAGGTAGGGAGAGTGGGTGAGTAGATG